CAGATTCAAGCATTATTTACCAGACATTGATGTTTGAACTAATTTACTTATGGACCGTGTGGAAATAAAAAAAAATATATAATCAGTGTAAATAGATTTCCTCAGTTTGTCTTTATCCTATTTCTAGAAGTAGAAGTTAATTAAATAGCACTATTTTAATGTGGAAAACAAAAAATAGCAGATTTTTAGCATCCTTCTCATGTTATGTTCTACAAAAAAAATAACACCTGTTATTTATACCTGAACTGCCGTCGAAAATGAAAATAGTAATAGCAAAGAAATATTGGAAAAAGTTAATCAGAAATGTTGATAGTTTAGTCTTTGTTCATTTTAACAGCAGTTTTCAGAACTCCTGTCTGACTCAGAAAATTTAGTTTAATAAAGAAATCCTAATGTTGGTTACTTACATTTCTCAAGTTCCACAAATCCAAACTCTCTCCTATGTTCAAATATAAAATCTCTGTGTGAGATGATGACGTTCAAACAGATCCTAAACAAAACCAACGCGTTTATAGCTGCTCTGCTATGAGATTGTAAAATACAGCCACAGGCCGCATTCGAGTCGGAACTTAGATATAATCTGATCATCTGATCCGACACATCCACGCCATTTGTGTGATTATAGGGGCCCACGGGCTTTGGTTTCGCTCCTGGGCCGCTGAGTGGACCGGCTAAGGTATGGGCAGTGTTTTAACAAAACATTTATTGAAAAATTATTTAACAACAATCAGTTTAAAAAAAAACCAGATCGACAAAACATTATTATAATAGCAGCTTGTTATATTTTAGAAAAGAAGAAGAAGGTGGTGGCGGTAATGTGCAGCTAAACCTTGCGTGCTAACCGCCAACAAACAGAAGAAGAAGAAATCTGAATACATGCAGCTACAAGCTAAGGGAAGCAATCTACAACACCAACTGGAAAGAGGAATGGGACCGAATCACTGACCTGTAAACCATAACGAGCTGTTTCTAACATTAGAATATTTCCTACGGATTTTATAGTTTTATATATACATATATGTATAAAATCGGATATATATATTGATGTGTTGGGATAAGAGAGGAAGCTTTCATGCTAAGTTTGTCTGAAAACTACTGCTGTCTAGGAAACCATCAAAGGTGATAAATAGCCCTTCATGTTAGAGAACATCCCCGTCCTTACCTGGTAAGAATTTCTTCCTCAGACCGTCAGAAATATCGGAAGTTCGGTTTTGTTGAGCAGCTCCGCCTGTAGAACTAAGCTCCGCCTCCAGATGGCGCCACCCCGCAGAAATACAACTTTAAACGCCACCATCCTGCTGAGTCAGAGAAGCAGAGGAAGCAGGGATGCTGGGACTTTACACAGACTCTGCTTGAAAATCCTCAGAAACATCATTCTAAATGTAAAATAAGGAAATACTTAAAAAATACATATATCTTTACTTGTATTCAATACATGTTTTACTATACATGACTGTTGCCTCCCAGGAAAACAGGAGCTTTGTTAAGGCTTGGAGCAAAACTTCATTAACAGCAATGATGTATGAGAGTGGAAGAATCTACAGTGAAAATTATCAGAGCTGCTATAGCTGGTAAGTATGGATTATTAACTTTGAATATTTACACTGCAGTCTGTAAATAGTGATAAGAAATCAGTTTAGTCAAAAATAAAAATATATTTCAAAATATATCAGGGACTCTGAAAGATACAGTGGCCGTGAGGTGCAAACCAACAAAACAAAATCTAAAAAACTTTTACAAGTTCCAAAACAAATGATAATTTCAGAAAACAAATTTACATTTGAAAAACACTCTTACAAGTTCAAAAACAAATTATCATTTCAGAAAACAAATTTACATTTGAAAAACACTCTTACAAGTTCAAAAACAAATTATCA